CCCCAAAACCCCAAAACCCCAAAACCCCATAATTCAGGAAAAGCACAATAGATTTAATAAGATTTTGAAAATGTTTATATTAATTATTTGAACTAGTAATACTTTAATCATCTATACGTCATCTAAAATCAACAAACTAAACACCCGAGAAAAATGCTAGACAATAAAAATAAGAATCAAAATAGTTCCTTCGAGTTAACAATAAACCCAGTAATCAAAAAATCATTAACTATAAATTAAGACAGGCTATCAAGCAAAACGTACGAATCAATATATAAAATAGCTGATGATCAAGAATAAGATAGTTAATAAATCAGTAATTGCTTGCTGTTAAATATTCAATAGCCATCAATAACAAGAGAACCAGGATATAAATTTCTTTAATCGGAACTATGCTACTCTTAACCACACTAATAACTACAGCTTCTGTGATGCCTCTCTCAGTTGCATTGCCATTAGAAAGTACTTTGCTCAAGCTTAGTTGGAGAAACACCAATATGATCCCTTTTCTAATATTGATTAGTATTATCGACCTTAAAACATAGGCCAAGGACTTCTCATTAAAGTCAATCTGGCAAAACAAGAACACAAGAATTGGAATAATGCAGTTATCTCTATCTTTCAATTTGGTTCAAATTTTCTTCATATTAAGCGGTTAGTACACAATCATGTCACATGCCTCAATATTTTCCAATCTGGGAGGTGCAATGCTAGTAATTCATAGAGTAATCTTACGCTAGCCAACACATAGATGGGAGTACTCTGGAGTTATCATAGCTATGGTCGGCTCAATCATTTCTGTTTTAGACAAAGATGTTAAAAAGATAGATGAGTCACACCAAAACATTCCATTTGGTGATATCTGTGGAATTATAAGCTCTCTCTTTGCAGCTTATTTTTTTCAGAAGAACTCTTAAGTTATTTAGAAAGTGCCTTCTTCAATAGTAGTTTGCTTAACAATTATCATTTCTGAGATTTTATTAGTAATTTTTGGGCTTATATTTGACACATTTACTCTTGATTTCAATACTCACACAGGAGTTTTCGGGTTTATAAGCAAGGAATATTTCCTTTACACATTTTTTGCACTCGGATTATTTTGTGGAGCAATGTCAATTTACACTGCTACCCTCGTACTTAAGTATTATCCTGCTGTTGTTTTACTAATTACTAGCCTATTTGAGCCCCTTTTGTGTTAAGCCATCTCTTGCTTGATGAATATTGATAAAGCTCCTGGTTTAATGACTTATCTAGGAGGCATGTTGACCTTAATCGGAATTCTTGGGAGTGGCTTATGGTGGTTAGCACCTTGATAAAGCCTAGAAAAGGCACAACTTATCATCAAATATTTTATGATTATACTTAATTCAATATAGACTTATTTTCCTTTGACGGGGTTTTGGGGTTTTGGGG